GCCGCCACTTTCTCTGTCCAGTCATTCCCCTTGGCGGCTCCGGTCACCACCGTCTCGGAGGGAATGAACGGGTACAGAATCGGCCCGACGCTGGAGATCGAATCGAAGATGGAGATGGCCGGTAGGGTTAGGGTTTTGCACTTCTTCACTCACCATGTGGAGGCTACATCCAGTTGCAGAGTCGCCATTGCTGTAAGTGACGGATCTGTTTTAGGTTTCCATTGCTAATTCTTCTTCTACTTCTTCTTCTCCTTCTTATCTAGCTCTGCAGAAATTGTTCAACTGAGTGTTCAAAATTTCTTACTCGAACTGTAAAAAATAAAAAAATCAAAAAAAAATTTTGAGCTCTCTCGATCGAGTAATTTGCGAGGATTTGTGCAATTGAATTGCAGAGTCTGATCTTAGATTTTGCTTGGCCTTAAGCTCTGTTAATGTGATTTGTGATTTCTTTAGGATAATGAAGCTGAATTTGATTCCTAGGGACAAATCTGTGGCTTCAGATCATAAAGGAATGTTGATGTGACAAAGTTTAATTGCAATTGAAACTAAGAACAAAGTGGGTTTGTACTCATTTTCTTACACTCTTTTTTTCCAGCTTTTTTGAAGTAGAACAGATTGGGCAATGGGCACTAATCAAAGTTTATTAATTTAAAGTGGCTTTTRGCTAAGGATTGGAATAATTAATGCAAGGCAGTTCGACTTATTTTGGTCTTTGTTTTTAGTCATAAAAGTTACATTAGTTTTTTATTATGATTTTTTAGAAATAATTTTTTTTTAGGAGATTAAACAATCTCTAAAGAGTGTTTACGCTCAAATTTGCTTAAAATAAATTATTCTTTTTTCATGTATCTAATTAATTTTAATAGAAATAATTATGTGTGAGTGGATTTAAGTTAAAAGAAAAATACTAGTTGACAGCACCCACTTTTGTTGACAAATAAGGGATATAAATGACAATTTTTTTTTTCATTTTCTAAAAATTTAAATGTCAAGTTTTTATCGGTGATGAGACAAAAAATGAGTGTTGGTTACTAAAAAAAACATGAGAACTTGTTAAATAATTGATAATAAAATAATAACAACAATTCAAATTAATTTTTCTACAAAACGTTAGACACTCAAACAAAATATTTAACCCAAAACTCTATTTTTGGATGCCACTCTAAGCAATATAGCTCTAGCAGGTAAATATTTGCACATAATTGTGGATTTGGATTATACCTTTTTCATTTGCAATGTAACGTCGGAAAAAAGAATAAGCTTATAAAAAAATTCTTTAAGAACTATTTAAAAAAACATAATGATTATACGAAGATTAAAAAATTTCTATATAGTTCAATTGATTAATGCACTTATGTCTTATCAAAAGTTCAAAGTTACTTCATGTATGGTAGGAAAAAAGTATAAGGATGGTATGAAAATTGGAAAAGAATCTATAAAGTTACTTAAATTTGAAATTGTTTTGAAGTAAATTTGGAGTGTGAAAGAAAAGAAATGGGGAAACTGTTTTTGGTCAGAGTCTCCAATCAGAAATGTTCTGTGCAAAGGAAAAGAAAGTTTCAAATTTTGCTTTTAACTCCCAGAATAAGGGGTGGAAATCGAGGCACTTCAAATTAAATATTATTTTAGTTAGTTTATGTAACCTCAAAAACTTTTATTTTCATTTCTGTGCATTAGAAAAAGAAAAGACTATTTTTTTTTTGACCATTGTTTTAGCGAGACACAATATTGACCAAATTTTTAAAAATGGATTTGTAATAAAATATTTTGATGATACATAAAATTTGTGTAAAATTTTACCAGCAAAACTTAAAGTGATCACTTTTAAATTAGAAGAACTAATGGGCGAATGATAATTAAAATGAATAAAAATTAAAATTACAAAAATCAAAATTAATGACTGAAAAATTGCATTTCTTTTATATTTTATATTTTCTTATTTTTGTAGCAGTGGATGGGACCCAGTGGATAAATAATGAATGGACAGTGGGGGGGCTGGAAATAGTATGACATAGGGATTCGGGAATTTGCTTTATTGACGTTTCGATTGAAGCTGTGGGCCACCCCCTCCATTTTTACCCTGCCCCACTTCTACTAAATTTACCTCATTTAACACGATTTCTTTAAAAGAAAAATTAAATTAAATGATGGGTGATTTTTTTTTTTTTTGATAAAATTAAATGATGTGTGATTTTATCGATTATGGGAATTTTTTTTAATAAGTTCTTGTATTGAATTTAACAATAATTCTTAAGGTCACTTCAAACAGTCCGTTAAAGGAGTTATGTTTAACTTAAAATAACAACGGTTAAAACACTGTTTTGATATTTTTAGTTCTGACTTATTTTGGTAAATATAATTTGAATTTGAATTTATTTTAATCTCTGTATTTTTTGTTTATTCTAGTTCATGTATTTTAAAAAGTGACAATTTTAGTATTTAATATAAATTCTATACATAATAGAAATTTTTTAATATAAAATTATGATTACATCTCAATAAATATATTGAATTAGTGTTGTGTTGAAGTTGTGATTGAAAAATAAGATTAAAACAAAATTACAAAACCAAAATAGCACTTTTTAAACTACAACCATTATTAGTCGGTAACAAATTGGAGAAATCTGAAAACTGTATTATTTCTCCCACGTGAATACATGGTATATTTGGTCAGTATAAATACAATTCAATCTGTAAGCTTATATCATAACAAACTATCTAACTACCATAGTATTAATTAAACTATGACTAACACTAATACTCCCCCTCAAGATGGAATGTAAAGATCATAAACACTCATCCTGGATAGCAAAGAACGTAAAGCAGAGGATCCCAAGGCTTTGTAAACATATCGGCCAATTGTGAACTAGATCGGATAGGTAATAACTTCAAGAAACCATTAGCGATCTTGTCTCGTACAAAGTGGCAATGTGCTTCGTGCGCTCATGAAATGTGGGATTTGATGCAATGGCTACAACAACTTGATTATCACAATAAACCACAACTGGAGGAGAAAAAGGGATAAACAAATCATAAAGTAACTGACGAATCCACACCAACTCGCTAGTGACAGCAGCAAGGGCACGATATTCTGCTTCAGCAGAAGAACGAGAAACAGTAGCCTGTTTCTTAGACCGCCAAGAAAACCAAAGAGTCTCCAAGAAAAACACAAAAATCGATGACCGATCGACGAGTATCCAAACAAGAACCCTAATTTGCATCAACAAAAGCACAGAGATTGAAAACAGAGGACTTTCGCAGCAAGATCCCTTGACCTGGAGAGCCTTTCAGATAACGTAACAAGTGATAAAGTGCTGCCAAATGACCAGAACATGGATGTTGCGACTAAGTTTGTGGACACAAAAAGATATATCAGGCCAAGAAATCTGTAAATAAAGCAAACGACCAAGTAAACGACGATAAGAAGTAGCCTATGTGTCAGAAAGAGGAGTGCCAGCAGACTTAGCAAGCTTAAGATTCGGGTCCATGGGAAAAGAAGCAGGACGAGCCCCGAGAAAGCCGGTATCTTCAAGTATTTGAAGGCAATACTTTCATTGAGAAAGAGAAATACCATGTTGGGAACAAGAAATCTTCAAACCCCAAAAAATACTTAACAGACCCCAAATCTTTAAGTTGAAAAGAAGATCGTAGAATGACCTTAACAGAGTCAAGTTCTTGTGGAGAAGGCCCAGTCAAGATAATATCATCAACATACACGAGTAAAGCCACAAAAGAAGAACCACGCCCACGTGTAAACAAAGAATAATCGGCCCGAGACTGAGTGAATCCATTAGTAAGCAAGACATGCGAAAATTTCGTAAACCATTGACGAGAAGCTTGTTTTAAACCATAAATGGACTTATTAAGTTTGTAAACAACAGACTCCCCCTAACTGATAGAAGTTGGCTTATAACCATGAAAACAAATATTTTGAGAGTATAGTGACTAAAATTAACAAAGGTAAAACTACACATATTATAATAAAAATAAATAGATAAAAATAATTAAATAATATTTTAACCCTAAGACTATCTTGTTAGTTTTTGTACCAACTGGCAGACACACAAAATGTCAAAATCTACACCCTTAACTCAGAAAAAAAAATTATTTTTCTTTTCTTTTTCTTTAATAATTTTTTTTTGGTATTAAAACAAAAGAAAAAAAATTATTTAAAAGTCGCAATAAGACAAAATTGGTGTTGAATACAACACAAAAATTTAATAAAGGACATCTTTTTATATAAATGTTTTGTTTCTACTTTTTTACATGTAAGAGTGTAAATTAGAACTCTTGATCTTTTATAAAATTATAATAAACCGAGATAGGTGCTTTAATCCTGAATGCTAATTTTTTTTTATAAAATAATGATTCAGCGAAAATGAAGTGCACCAAATTTAAACTTTGAAATTATATTATACATTTTTTTAAGTCCTGTATCGTTAAAAAAATGGCCACTTTGACCCCAATTTGAAAGCTTATAACATAATTTTTGTTCAGATTAAAAACCTTTTAATAAAAATTTATAGCTATATCTAAAAAAAATTATGCTAAAATTTATTATGCTAAAATTTTTATGGAAATAAATGAATTTTAAAAAATGCCTAAAATAGTCCAAAGTATAGATATCCAAACGAATGTTTCAAAGTCACTGAGACCAAAGAAAAAAAAAGAGTGAGAATATGACTAAAATTAGTACAAATTTTGCATTTCACCCTAATTTTCGAAAAGCATTTTAAGCCTAAATTTATGGATTGCCTTGCCTTTTTGAGTGTTTCAGCCATCAGATCATTCCCCAAAGCTCAAACCTGTGCGCCAAAAGAGGAGATTCTCCTGTCCTTTTGACTCCAACTTTTTTGGCAGAGGCATCTCAGATCCAAGATAAAAATTAAAAAAATAATAAAAATTGCCATATAAACAGCACAAGAAGTTCAAAACAAAGAAAAAAAAAATACAGGTATTTCCTTCTTATAATACCGTGTAATCGTAATCGGGATATCGGTATCCATATCACCAAGGATCGAAAGATGGCGAAAATCACTTCTTTATATAGGGTCTGGAACTGAATACAACAAAATCAGCTTCTGCAGCTACCACCTTCCTCGCAATGTATGAATGAAAGAATTGTGCTGCCATCTTCCCCCTCCCAAATACCAAATACAGAAGAAGATATTATATATGTTACAATCTACTTCGACCAAGCAACGGTGTCGATTTCTGCTTGTGCGCTTCTGTATAACTCGAGCCTCTTTGCTAGGGCAGTACGCCGCTCCATGATTGCTGGATCCTCGTTCAATAACGAAGACAGGCGCTTTTGCTGCAGAGGAAAGAACATGAACGTAATATTAGGTGGAGAGAGGAAATCTTGAGATGATCAATTGTATGGGACGAGGGAGATTATTCTACCTCTAGTTTACCCAGATCGGTGAAGAAATGGTCAAGTAGGCTTCTTTTGGCCTCTCGTACTTGACAATAAACAATGGACTTTGGAATCGAGTTTCGTAAACTTGCACAAACCATATGGACATAGGATAGCACTGTTGTTCCTGCATATCCCAACGGAGAATGTACATA